TTCCTTTACTTTTTCCTACTATTCTGTTTTAGTGAGCGCATTTTGCTTACGCTCTTGCATTTTGACATTTTTCAGCTTCTAGTCCGAAAAGATAGGGAATGGACCTATAGTAAAATTGCTTTTTTAGTTTTTCACTTTGACGTCAGTAATTCAAAAATGTTTTAAAAAATTCAGTGAAATGTGCTTAGAGAAGATGTATAGGTATCAAATTAAAGAGGAAATTCTGTAGAATTTAATCAGAATCAATTTTATATTACATAAGGACTAGTAAGTATTGAAAATGTCCTTTTAAAATTGTACCTATTTAATATTTCAAATGAAAAATCATTATCAGTGCTTGGTAATTTTTTTACTTACGTGGCTTGCACCTTTTTTTATTAAAAATATATAAAATATGTATAAATTGTTCTTTTTATTTTATAATAAAAATCACGAGAGCATTATGTTGTTACTTTTTAATTTATCTTATGTTGTATGCAATCTTGCAATTTAAAAATCTAATTCTTAAGAATTCTCTTTCCAAATAAATCCTTTTATAATCGCCAATTCCGTGTGAATAAATTGTTCTCATAATTTAACATGCAAAACAAAAACAAATTGGGAAACATTACTTTATAATTTTGGGAATATTTGTTAACATGAAATTCGTGATTCGTGATGAAATTCGTGAAAATTTACTTTTAAATTTCTCATCAGATTTTGCAAAAAATTTGGCTTTGTGGTTATAGCGTATCACCATTAACTTCAACAAATTTCGAATTTAAAATTTCCAATGTATGCAAAAAACTTGAATTCGGCTTACGCAGACCGCCCTTCGATGAGCAATTAGCATATGTATAATTTTGATCACTTTCTTCATCCGTTCTGAATCCTAGTTTCGTCAACCCCCTTCTTGAGATTTAGCATTAATTTTCAGGTTCATCATATTCGACATCTTTGAGTGGACTGATGAAATCTTCTGCTTAAAAAAAAAAAATATTACTGCTCGTGATCAGGTAGCATGCATTTAATGAAATGTCATAATTTTATTAAAAGACAAATGGTTAACAACAACAACGAATGTCATTAAATGAAACTACCTTCTTTTTTGTATCATGAAAATCTCTAAATTCACTAAAATCCCTCAACTGAACTATTGGTGCTTCTTAGTGCTCCGACTCATTTCGGTATAACTAATTTGTTTAATGGCTCAATAAGAGAATTGAGCACTACACCAATTCATATCAACAGAGAACTTATGGTCTGATTATGGCAACCTAACGTAACTTACGGCTCTCTCTTAAAAATTCTGTTAAATGGGTGTTGCTTATAATTGAACAGCCGAAACTTAACGTAACTTAATGCCACGGCGAAATCTGTTTCATTTTGATTCTCTAAGTTCTACGTTCCGTTAAGTTAAGTTAAGTTGCCATAACAGGCTTTTAGTCATTGTACATGCTCTCGCTTTGTGTGCCGAGCGTAAACTAGTGTTAGTGCATATGTGTGAATATTCTGCAATGAATAATATCCACTAACACTATTTCTTGTTCATTCATGTTATTCAACCAATTACTTAAAAACACGAATAATTGCAGTCCCCTGGTGTACACTTAGCTTTAGGCCACTTTTTATGCATGTGGCCAAATGTCGATCGTCCTGGAGAAAATCAATCAAACCACTACACCAAAAAATAGCTGGCTTTACGATTTTAATTTAATAAAGTAAAACACAATTCATATATTTACATATGTATGGGAAAATAAGGAGTCCATGTATTTTTAGATACCTTTTTATTGTATTTCCAAATTATATAATTGCCTTTGAAATTATGTAATTAAAAGCAAGGAAATTATATACTTATATTAAAATATAACTGTAATAATAGAATGCGCGAATTTTATTTGTGTTTACATTACGCATCTTTTAAAAATACATATGTAGCAGAAAATTAATGCAACAGGGATTTTTAATGTTTTTTTTATTATTATTTTGCTTTGTTCCAGTAGCAAGTATTTTCTTTCGTATTTCAACGCTTGAAGTCAACTTAAACCTTTTCTGCTGGTGCTAAAATGTATATTTAATAATAATATTTGAAAGGTGAGTAATAATTACTTGAATATTACATGATTAAATTAAACAAAATAAAATAAGATAATTTATTATGGAACTTATGAAATATACATACATACCATTATTTATGTAAATATGTAGTAGGTTATCTTAAGCTAAATTAACAAGTAAACAGAGTATACGACTAAAGAGTAAGCATGTATTCATAAGTAATGTTTTATGTTACTACTCATTTCTTTTTGTTTGCTTCTATTCTATTCATTTCATTGCATTCTAGTAAACATTTTTTAATGTAAATATATATTTATGAGTGTTCTTTTTTGTCTGAATGGTTACGAATATATTTATGTATATATGTATATATAATAACAACAATTTTCTTTTTAAGTTTATATAATCAATTTCAATAACCGAGATATTGCATCAATGTGAAATGTTTGGTTTCACATTGGCGTTTCTCTAGCCAGCGTTTACATATTAACTTTAAGAGAACATAAATGTATGTAAATACATAAATTGTATCATACCACAAATTTAAACTTTAATTCCTGCAAAATTTCGCTTTTTTTGTTTTAGTTTCGGTTTCATTTTTGTCGGTATTTTAGGCACTGTTTTCCTTAACATTTTCATAAAGTTTTGTTGATTTGTTTTGTTGCTTTTTTCAATCACTTATCTAAGGGTGTAATTTTGTAATAGCAATTTTGAGGTTAGATTTAAATTCTCGCGCTGTACGCGTTGCTTTCAAATACTACTAGAATAATTTCTTATTATTTATTATTGCCTAAAGGGATGCTGGTTGCTTTCGCCATCTGCTAACAAAATATGTTTCAGTGCTCTTTCTTATTTGTATTATATATTGATAAATATATGTTACTATACATATGTAGATCTATCACTATTCTATTGCATACATATGACGCATTTCATGTCACCGCGGCCACCTCTGTGCGCGACCTCTAAGGATTTGGATGAAAGTTGAAGAGATTGTAGGTCTGGGTGACATGAATATACGTGCAGCATATTTTGCCCATATGACGTAGGGTTGCCTATTTACACTGGACTTATATTTTAGGAAAACGTCATACATAGCTTTCTTTAAAGAGCTGTATCTTAAAAACCTTTTAACGAAACTTAGTGAAAAAATTTATGTCTTCCGTCATATTATGGGCTTTAATTGTACATTTTTACATTAATGTGCAACGTATAAAAAACAAAAAAAATTAAGTTAACATTTTTCTTTTAGATTTTATTTTTGATTATAGCATTTAAAAATAAGAATTTTTAAAAATGCTACAATCAAAAAAAAAATCAAAATGAAAAATGTTTACTTAATTTATTTTGTTTTTTTGTTTTTTATACGGTGCACATTAATGTAAAAATGTGCAATTAAAGCCCATAATAACACGGAAGACATACATTTTTTTCACTAAGTTTCGTTAAAAGGTTTCCAAGATACAGCTCTTTAAAGAAAGGTATGTATGACGTTTTCCTAAAATATAAGTCCAGTGTAAATAGACAACTCTACGTCATATGGGCAAAATATGCTGCACGTATATTCATGTCACCTAGACCTTCAATCTCTTCAACTTTCATCCAAATCCTTAGAGGTCGCGCGCAGAGGTGGCCGCGGTGATATGAAATGCCTCATATGTAAGTATGTACTATATTATATTTTTATATTTTATATTTTTAATTTTTATACATATTTGAATATATTTTTCAAGTTGGAACCATGTGCTGCGTTGAGTTCGCAAATTGAAACAATTGTTAATCCATCAAATGCTCACTGATATATAACCACTAAAACGTTTTTCCAAACATTGTGGTAGAATATCATCTTAGCTCCATTATAATACTTCTTATAGTGTAATGTGTCAGTTTTTATACCAACTAGAAACACGGCAATCCTTTGAGCTTAACATACTTAACAAATTTTGTATAAGAATTGTACATTAGTACTAATTTGTTGTAGTGTTTTCGATTTGACTGGTTGTTTACGATAATTTCATAGATATACATATAAACATTTGCATTGTACACTAGCGCTCGACTTTAATCGAGCACATTTTTACACTTGAAAAACCATACCAGAACTAAACAGCATTCGTTAACATATAGTACGTTCGTTCAACTATTTAGATTTTAAGACATTTTTCTAAATACAATCTCGTGCTTTGCAATAAACTGATTTTTAATGCCATTCTAATTTTGCAATTTGATTGTCACTTATTTTTAATTCCAAATCTAAGAAGAAATTACATATTTACATATGTATAAAGAGTCTGCTACCGAAACCGTAAATGCTATTTAAGATTTGTGAATTACACTGTGCAACATTTTAATATTTTAATAGCTCACTGTCAAAAATTATTGTTATGAAGAGGAGCAAATCTTTTTAGGGTTTGCCTACATATCTTATAGACAATACCGTCAGGGCATTATTTGGTTCAGGCTCCAAATAAAAAACAGTGTATTTCACGCTCTTCTAATTTTGAGTCATGTTTATAATTTATTTTTAATTTCAAATCCTTCAAGGAAGGATTAATGTATGAAGTGCGTGCCATTGAAACCGTTTAAGCTATTTAGCATATGTGGATTATTCGTTAGAGTAAATATACGGCAGAATCGAAATCAATAGCGCAATTCATTTGAACGTGTAATTGCCTCGTAATCACGGAAACCTTAATTAATTTTGTATGAAAACCCGGTTTATTTACGAGGGTTACGAGATTGCAAGGCATTTACGCAATTATATGAATACCCAAAATTACAAAAAATTTTATGCAAAATCCAATATTTTTTTTTTGTTTACTTTCGACAACTCAAATGATTATTTACATAAAAATTGCGCTATCCAAAAAATCATCGTGCTGCTGGTTGGACCAAGATTTTAAGGCAAATTTAATTTTTCCCAAATTTTGATTTTACTTAATTTTTTTTATTATACAATATTTTTCTGATATAGCATCAAGTGTTTAGCTCGCTTGCGGATTGTAAAATCACCACCAGCCAAATAACACTATTGACTATTAGGGGTATTCATCTTAACGCGTAAATGCCCCGTAGCCACGTAAACCTCGTAAATTTACTTAAATTTGTATGGAAAATCTGGTTATTTAATAGGTTTACGCGTTTACGAGGCATTTAAGCGTTTAGATGAATACCATTAAGAGCGTGTTTACTGCATTAAAAGTTTACTCTGCTGAATGCTAGACGTATTATCCTGGCAACAACTTAACTACATATCTCAAAACACATTTTACATGCTTAAACTCTCTCTCACCATCACCTAATTAGGTCGGCCGCTTTGTGACCTGTACCTTAACTAAAGCTGGAAGTTTACCTGTATTTACGTACGTATGTGTAAGCTCTTGGCTAAAGGCAATTTTACGCGATTATCGAATCATCATCTAATCACTAACTGCTCAACTACTCAGCCATGCGCCGTACAATCGACGCTGTCTGCGTTCTCTTCTACCCTTCACACTCGCGTAACAATTAAGCTGTCATCACTCCTTGTGGCTTATATTCGTCGCCGTGCTGCCGATGTTACCCATTAGTTTATGTTGTGGTATTACAGTTAGGGTCTTGGGAATTTTCGACATCAATGTATTATCAAGGAGCATTTGGTGTTGCTGTTGTTTCGAGGTAATTGTCGCAGCGATATTGCCGCCAATGGTTGGACCCTTGTGCATGAGCTGTGGCGGTTTGGGTGTACCTTGGGCATTTACCATATTGCCGTTGAGCATATGATTCGCTTCGGGAAAATTCCAAATCCAATTGGGATTGAGTTTAGCTGTGGCAGCTGCTGCGGCCGCCGCGACTGCAAGTGGGTTTGGATTGGGATTTGAGAATGCATTGGTTAGTAATGGCATCATGGGCGAGGAGAAAACACTGCTGCTGGAACTTGGTATATTGACGTTGGTAGCAGGCGCATGGGAGGTTGAAGGACCGCTACCGCCGCCGCCACCATTTTGGGCAGTCGTTGCTGTCGATTTCGGCGCGATTGATGGGTATCGATTGGGAGTTTTTAAGGCAGCTTGTTTTTGCATTTGCAGCATTTGTAGATGCATCAGTTGCTGATGGGCTGCTTGTTGCTGCTGTTGGTGTTGTTGTTGGTGCTGCTGTTGGTGTTGTTGTTGGTGCTGCTGTTGTTGTTGCTGCTGCTGCTGTTGTTGTTGCTGTTGTGGCTGTTTTCCGGCGTGTTTATTAAAGTTTGAAATTTGCGCACTGTGCGTAGTTGCCATTTTATTTGCATGGAGTTGTTGCTGTTGCTTGGCGTCGTGTGAGTTCTTGCCTTTTAACATGTGGTCCCGCAACAACTTTTCACGCCTTAGGATACACATTCGGTTGTAGTCGAAAATTGAGATGAGAAAAGGCTTGCCCCCCGACAGCACTTGTACCAGCGCAGGCAGTCGGCGCCCGTCCGCAGTTTGATAAAGCGGACCGCCCTTGTCGATTAAATGCAAATTCTCTTCAACGGGCATCAGCGTGGGGCGCCAACTGCGCTGCTGTCGCTCTCGAAGTGTTAAGGTGTCCGGCAGTATGACCACATTTGGTGGCGCTGCTCGGTGCGGCGCCGCGGTACTACTCTCACCTACACTGGTGGTTACCGGTTTCGGAGCGCCTTGTGGGCGCTTGTTGTTTATAAGACTTGCAGTGAGGGAAGAGATAGGCGTAATGCTGGTTGAGGGTGCTGCGTTGCTGGTGCTGGTGGAACTACTACTTGTAGCGCCCACAGAACGACGTTGTAGACTTACTAGTTCTGGCGGCGAGGTTATCAATGATGTGCCTGAGCTATTTTTTGTTTGTTCCGCGGCTGCGGCGGCCGCTGCTTCAATGCGATTGTCCAAGAGCTTATTTGCAAGCTCGAGTATTTTTTGATGCTTGCTCTCAGAGGGGCCACTACTGTTGTTGCCACTTGTTAATTTTCCGATCGATGTAGCTGCATTGTTACCGGGCGCACTAGCGCTACTAGACGCTGATATTGGTACGATTTCAACAGCCTTATTCATACCTAGCAAATTAGTTTTCAAAATGCTGCGGCTATTACCTGATGTGCTGCTGCTATTAGGACTACTGCTGCTGCTGTTGCCGCCTGCGCTACCGCTATTGCCACTCAGTGCTGTGAGCGTGGTAGATGCCACAACACTGTTATCGCTCGATTTATCCTTTAGTAGTGACTTTTGAGGAGAAGGATCACCACCTATTTGTGGCTGAGGTTTGGGGCGCGCTATTATGGTCACCGCATTGGAACTCAACTGCTTGGTTAGTTTATCCACTGAATCACTACGATGGCGTTTGGCACGAACCGGATTGGGTGGATCCCGAGTAACCTTATCCACCTCCATTTGTTGGACGCCACTGCCATTCGAACCAGTGCGCTTCGGTTCATCGTCATCTTCATTGATTTCTACGGTAGGAATGTCGGTACTGCTTCGCTTACTAGTTGCCGGGCTGGGTTTAGCACTCAATAGCCCACCACAGTGTCCCTGATCATAGGAGGTGAGACGCTGTCGCACTGTCTGTGTATAAACACTAGCGTTTGAGGAAGCGTTGGGTGAGAGCACCAAATCGCCGTTGCGATAGTATTTCTCCAACAGTATCAGATGCCGCAGGAAAGAACTTTGATTGCCATAAGGCTTCTGTAAGTCTTCCCATAATCGTCGCGTTGCTTCGTCATATTGTAAAAATGTTTGAACTCTGGTCCAACCTTCAGGTGTACGCTGACTTGTACTGCTGCCAAAAGGCACCTTGAAATTCAAACCAAGATCCTCTTCTCCTGGGAAGAGTTCACGCATAGAAATATTTGGATTTGCTCGCAGTACATTCGATATATCGTTGGTAGCAGCACCACTCGCCGAGGATGTTGAAGTTTTAAGTGAGGCTGCACTGGCATTGGAAATGCCATTGCTGCTCTGCAAGATTGCCTTAAGTTTAGACATTTGTTGTTTACCAGTGCCGCCACCATTTGTTGGTGACATTGGGGAGCTAGACGAATTGGAATCCGTTGACAGAATCGCCGTTGCTTCAAAGCCTACCAATACATCGTTAGTGATCACCAGGTTTTGTTTCGATGGTGGCTGTTTTTCTGTGTCATTCTTCTCATTGGCACTGACTTCCATGGTTGTTGTCTCGCCCAAACATTCAATAGATGACCCATTGGATTCAGCTGGTGAAGGCAAGTTCTTTACGGGTGTCACTTCCAACACAATGGAACTATCTTGAATGTCCAATTTTTGTGGAGTTTTGCTGTTAGACGCATGTGACTTGTCGACGCCACTTACTAAATTGGTACCGTTGCCCTCCTCATCATCTGCTTCGGAAGCATCATTGCTACCATCGTGAATATTGTGGAATTGTAGAAGGCTGAAAATTAGAGACGAACATTAATAGTATTTTGAATGCAATGAAAGTATCGGCAGAGTGATTTTTTTTGGTGCACTTTTTTCTAAGGGTTGACATTTTTTTGGGTACACAGTTCCATTGCCCATTCAATTTTAGTCTGATAATGTGCAAGTTCAGGTGCCTAAAAATTACTGTTCATTTTTTAGATTTTTTTTTGCCCAAGGTGTTGCAGCGTTCTTCCATATACAAATTGTGTTTATTCATTAAATGGAAGAAAATGCAGTCAAAAAAAATATTCTAAAAAATTAACCGTAATTTTTAGATATTGAAACTTGCACATCAGACTAAAATTTAATGGGCTATAAAACTGTATACTCAAAGTTTTAAACTTGGGTTTATATGGCTTATGTAAGAGATTTTTTATTTGAAAATTCTTAAAAATAAAAATAAGTGGCAAACAATATCACATTGAAATGGCGAATATAAATAATTTCGATTATTAATTTCCCCAGGTTTCATTGCAGTCGGCGTGTTATGATCTAGGTAAATACATATTAAAACTTACCGTTTACGATAGTTTTTGACGAACTCGGCCTTTTGTGATTTGGTACTATCTGGTGGTTTCATTAACAAATTTGCAAAGTATCGACATAATTTGCAGACAGCGGTGCCAATACCCAACTGCACTGGGATACCCATTTCTGATAGGGCTTTTTCGAGGCGATCGGTGTCCTAGAAAATTTAAAATTATTTTATATTTATAACTTACTTTCCAATTTCGATATTGAATTAATACATAAAGATATTAAAGTAATAGCTATACCCAACGGGACTGAAAGTGAGCTGCTCCCCAAAGGAGCAAGTAGGGAGCAGTACAAAAGCAAAGTAACAAAAAAATATTTAATTTCTATCAATGCTCAGAAATAAATATCATTTTGATTAGTAACATAAAATATTTACTTTTGAAAAAAAGTTAATTTATGCACAACCATGAATGTATGTATGTATGTACATATGTATATTGTTTGAAAACGTAAACAAAATCTAATAATTTAGCCTATTGACTTGGGTATTGGAAAGTAGTATGGAATAAATCATGTGGGACGTGCTTTTTAAAGTTCTTAGTGTGACCTAGAAGATCAATAACAAAACACAATACCAGTAGATAATGGGACACTGATATTAAAATTAATTCTGAGCGACATAAGCTCAAATGTGCCAACATCGTGTTTACTATGTAAAACTTAAAAATGTTGGCAGATAGAAATAAAATAAAACGATTGGACATATTTCGAAATGAGTTCCTCCTTACAACATCTAACGGAAGGCATTCAATGCTAAAGGCAGTGTCACACGATTGGTACATTTGTACAGATTTGTAATTTTTTTTTTATATTGGACTATTGGTACAAAATAAAAAAATTGGGGCGAACTTTTATTTAAAAATTTAAACAATTTTTTTTTGTAATTGATAAAGAAAAATAATTGCGCATTCACACGATTGCGATACGATTTGTGTAAAATTTTGGGCAAATGCCCAATCGTGTGACACTGCCTTAAGTGCTTTCTCCATTTCCCCAATGATTTTAGCCACTTAAAAAAGAAATTTGCATCACATATATTCTAACAAATATGGAATAAACAACTTCTAACATTAAACATATCTAAGCTTACCGACGTTATGTGATACATATGGTTTTTGCCTAAACGGCGTTTGCACAACACACATCCTGAGCACTGTATGACGGTGTCGTAATGCGCCTGACATAGCCACACACAAGTCGAGCCGGTCGGCATGTCAAAGTTAAGCAGAAATTTCTTTACACTCTTCCTTATGCATTTGCGTCGCAGGGAATGTGCAGCTGGATTGGCGCAATCTGGCACTAGGCATTTGTGAGATCGGGGATCATCTTCCACTTCCATGGTGGTGACACTATCAATCGCCTCCCCTCTAGCCGTAGAAGTTCCAGCACTGTCTACGTGGGTTGTTACCGACATACGTTTTTTGTACGACGGCACATTTGCACGTCTATCCACATGACGGAAGCAAGCATCACACAAACAACTGTCTACTGTCAGTTTCTCCTCATCTATACAAGATAATCAATATAGTTCACACAATTACAAAATGCATACAAATTTGTTTAATTTTTAATAAACCTACTTGCAAGTATCTTCTGTTGTCGTTCAGCTGATTTGATTTGACCCACATGACACGGCGTGTCATAGAGGCCGAATTTACCGCTGCAATAGAAGCATTGATCATCACACAGACGACCAGGATGGAACTTGAATGACGATGCCTTTTCTGGTATGAGTATTTCCTCTTTTTCATCCTTTTTATGTGAAGTGCTTGCGCTGGTGTGGTGATGTACTGTGTCATAGCCCTCCGAATGTGAAGAATCTATCGCAAGCGCAATATTTAAGTTACATTTATATAAGCATTTTCGGGTAAGATTAACACAACAAGCAAAAGCAAGTAAGCTCAACTTAGGACTAAAGGTGTGTGCGTTTACGAGCTAACTAGATGCTATAAAGAATTCTTCAACAATACTTTTGTGGGTATCAAATTACAGGAGAATCACGCTCGCCTATTGAAAGTGTGTTAGGTTAGATTTTAATTACTGATTCAATGCAATACATCATATTCAAAATGTTTTTAATGGTAACGTTTTTTGTTTATTAAAAAAAATATATGTATGTACATATTCATGTAGAGCTCATTCTACAACAAAAACATGTAATAACGTCAGCAAAAATAAGTTAACAAAAATCATCGGGGGTTTTCAGCAAGTTAAAACTGGGACTTTGTTATACTAAAATTGAGTATACTATAAAACTGCGATTAAAAAGATTGAAATTTTGATGAAAATCTGCTGAATGTTTCTCAAGTAAATTTTGATGTACATGGTTTTTGTAGTAGAATGAGCTATACGTACTAAAAAAAGTTAACGAAAAAAATTTATTGTTTATTTATATTTGGCCGTTAATTGAAAATTCTGTTGATATTTTTTTGAGCTCAAGGCCGGGTTGAAATAAAACAATCTGTTTTTGTTGTTTTTAAATCGTCTATATTTCGACTTTCAGGAACATTCGGCTGCGCCTGGTAGTAAATTTAGTATGAAAATAATTTGAGTATTGTTAAAAAAAATCAATGCAAAATACCTCTTTGAGTTTTTTTTAATCATTTAAAGCAGTCATGCCCAACGCTGGCAGAAAACTCTATAAGCAAGTGCTCTGCGCTGGGCATGCCTAATTTAAAGAAATATTTTGTCTCGGTAAATTTTTAAATGGACCTTTAAGGGTTATTTCATTGTGACTGGTGGGACATTTGATTCCAGAATGCGATCAATTGTGAATAATAACTACATCTTCGGAACCTATACAACAGTGAAAGATATATTTTAACATACGAAAATAATGTATAAAATTCGTTTCAAAAAAAATACCAAACAATTCGTAAGTTCTTTCTAACTACACTGGATCACAAATTTTAATTTTGTTTTTGTTCTCCAGTCACCACTATCCAATTTGTATGTAGAATCGGTCGCTGATTCCAAAAATCGAGTTAATTTTTTTCGTTATGGATATGTTTTCGAGATATTTGCAATTTACCGTTATTCGGCTTATAAAAAGGAGTGGTTCGACTTAATCACGTATATCTTAGGAACAAATGGAATAATCGTAATACGGAGGTACTTTCCGATAGCCCTGATAGTTTCTAAGAAATTAATTAATCATTCCAGATTTTTTATTTTTTTCATGAAAAAATTGAAAAAATTCAAACTTTAACAGGGACAAATGGAACAATAGCAGTTTCTGTGTTTCTTTTTTTAGAAAAAATTAGGCCACCAATAAAGAAAATCGATGGATATATAAGAAAGTAATGATTGATTAAATAAAAATGCGAGAGGATTTTTTTGTATGAAATACTAGCCGGCCACGGATGTGCGAGGCTTCGCCACGCGCTGAATGTATGCATATGTATGTACATTTACGTATTTGGAGAAAGAAATCATATGTCGTCATGTACTTCGTTTATTATATATACAAAAAATTTTGTCTAAATACGCTCAGTAGCGTGGTTAAATTATCTCGCCTTTCCTTTATACTATGCATAGAAGATAGTAATTTTAAATAGGTGGCAATCCTACTCAAAAAATTTAAAGTTTTTGTACATGCAAAGGCCACGCACTCTCATTTGGCATCTTATTTTTTTATCCAACGAACGGTGAAGATCTTATAGTTTTTAAACAGGTGGCAACCCTACTCTCAAAAATAATACATTATTACACATCCAGAGGCTAAGTCTTTTCGTTTGACAGTGACGGTACAGAACTGATGCCTACGCTTATTATGATTGAAAATGGTAATTTTTTAACAGGTGGCAACCCTACTGAAAACAAAAAATGTTAGTGTTTTTCTAGAGGCCAATCCCTTTCATTTGACATCACATCTTTTGTAATCCAACGAACGGTGCGGATCTTATAGTTTTTTAGACAGGTGGCAACCCTATTAAAATTTTAAGTAAAAAAGGTCCCTCTCCTGTCGATACAGAGTATATTAGAGAAAATCTCGTCAAAATCCGTTCAGTAGTTTTCGAGATTACCGCGTACAAAGAATCACGACTTTCCTTTATACTATGTATGTATGTATATAATATATTGATGAGCAGAAAAGAGTGTTACTGATACGCCACGTACACCCGAGTAGCACCTGAGTAGGTAGAGTGTTTGCATTGAAAGCAAGAGGTGTCAGAAATGATTAATTACTTTCTCTGAAGCTATCAGGGCTATCGAGAAGTAATTTATATACAGTTTATGGAGAATTTCAATAGCTTTAATTTTCTATATATCGTATTACGATTATTTAATTGGTTCGTAAGATATACGTGATTCAAGTGAAACCACGTTTTTTAAGCTGAATAGCGGTAAATTGCAAATATATATCTTGAAAAGTTATCCATAGAAAAAAAAAACTATGTCGATTTTCGGAATCACAGAGTAGTTCTACATAGGAATTGGATAGTGGCATCTATAGAACATTTTCGCTGCAAAACAGTGCTATTATTTGAATGAATGTGACTTATGGAACACTAAAAATCCAGCTTTTTAGCTTTGTGAGCTCAAAGACGAATTTTTGTTACAGCACTTATTTCAAGCCAGTTTTGTTGTAAAACATATACTATAAGGTTTCGTCTTCATTAAAGATTATTTAAAATTGTGAGTGGTGGGCCAGGTCCTTACGACTGGTGTCAAGTAATTATGTATGTATGAAGTAAAAGTTTCCATAGACAAAAATTACAGCTTCTTTTTATTTTTTTAAGACTTTTCAATAGGCTAATGAAATGCAGTAATTTAAGGAGAGATTGCTACTGAAATAGGGATAATTAAGGCATTTTAAAATTTATGTAGTTTTCTTTTTCCATAAAAGTGGCTTCAAGGTCTCTGCTGTAAAAAAATAATAGGAATGAACAAGGAACTTCTGGGCGTCACACTGTTCACGTACATACGCCGTCAGCGGACTCGCTATTCAAATTTAATTCCTATAAATAAAAGTGAGTTTTACTCATGATACAAAAAACAAGGTAGTTCCATTGTCACTTTTTCGTCGCCATATTAACAACCTGACAATTAAGCAGATTGTGACATTTCGTGCTACTATACCCAATATCTAAAATCCTTCCAATTTTCTTATTAATTTTTTGTCGATTTAAAAATATTTTGTTCTTAAGCATAGTATTTTGTTCCTGTTTCACGTGAAAAAGCAGTTAAATTGCATATAAAATTTCTTTCTGTTAAAAATAAGTGTGAAATTCAACAACATTTCCCCAGCAAAGTAGTATTCTGTTCACGCTGTGAAAAAGCTTGCAACATTGTTGCAACATGAAGCTAGCAACACAATTTTCATGACATTTTTAAATACACATGTACATTTTAAATTGTGTGAAAGCTGACAGTTTATCGAATTCAGTAGCGGCGAAAACAAAGGGGGGTTAAGTGGTTTAACGCAATTTCAGCTTATGCCTTTGGGTCTTGGCAATAATTTAGTCCCTCAAGGTTTAGCTTAAAATGGTTCTAGGGATACACCCTGTTCGATTCAGAATACCAAAAAGAATTTTACGGTGGTTACAATTAAAGAAGAAACTTAATTTTAAAGAAATTAAATGCGAGGTATTCTATTTAAGCTTTAAAGTTTCCATGTGCATAAAACAACAATATATGTATATAATCGTACAATCTGAATCTGACCCAGATAAAAGAGAGACACTGAAGGTCTCGGAGTTTTCGATAATGGAAAAAGCATTCATGAAACGGTTTGCAAATCAAAGAGCAAAGCCTTATACCACCCCAAAATCCTAGAGCAGTATTTTTAAATGTACGAACACGAAAGTTCGGTACTTGCAACAACCTCAGAGTTTGCACCGAGCCCGGTTTTCATTGCGAGCAAGAATCGAGTTTCTATAGTCCACATGTACTGAAATTTTGCATACTAACACTTTAAAGCAGTACTCGGCATACTAACACATTCAAACGATTCAATAAGTGAGACTGTGTGCGTTAAATGCACCCCAGTAGTTCTCTGGAGTTTTGAAAATATCAAATACTAGCGATTTAGTGCATTACTGGTCGTTAGGCAATGAACTAGTGATTAGTAATCGCCACTTTAGCACCAGGTAATCGCTAGCGAAAAGACAAACCACGCGCACTGCTCGGTACGCTTCAATGACATTGCCATGTTAAATTCGTTAGGCAAAGGAATTGGTGTCGCAAGTTTTGTGACTAGTACCCGTCTGCACTCGCTAGGGCAGGCACCTTGTTGTTGGTGCGGGGGCTTAGCTGAATTGCCGATCAGCCCCTCTCTGGTCTGGGACATCGTGGACGCGCTCGTCGCTTCTGCACTACCTTGTCACCAGATTGGGGCTGCCGGCAAACGGTGACCAAGAACTGCCACCTCCTAATCCAAGGTGTTACGCGTCACCGTGCCTATTGGACGGTTTGCAGCCAGGAGGGAATAAACTGACTGTATTATAACGGCGCCTCTTCGACACCGGGCCGCATTCAATAACGGTGGCCATACCGCGACATGGGGCGCTGGCGCGGCGGACCAGATGAGATCCCCTTTCAATATTTTGACTGCTCAGCTTGCCTCGCATCTACTCCTGCAGCTGCTAGGCTACATAAAGCCTTAGCGAGAAACAACACAGGGACCAGGCTGGCTATTAGGCTACCTAATGGGACTTTTTCAGGTACTGAACAGGAAAGGGCACTCGCCCTGTCGGCCCACTTTCCGGACGCCATTCCCACCGCTGGGGATACGATGTTTCGTGCGTTCAGGTCATCCCCACCGGACTGGAAGCTGGCTTAAAACCTCATAAACCGGCAAACAGTGCGGTAGGCTTTGGACTCGTTCGAACGGTCCAAGGCCCCTGGGGTGGATGGTGTATGTCCAATGTTGCTGAAGCAGGGCGGGGAGCTCTTACTTCCACATCTGGTGGATATTATGAGGGACAGTCTAGAACTGGCTCACATTCCCAAGGTGTGGCAGAGGGCCAGGGTTATCTTTATCCCGAAGGGAGGTAAGAGAAATTACTCTCTTGCCAAGTCATTCAGGCTGATAAGTCTCACATCCTTTATGTTAAAGGTAATGGAGAAAATTATTGACTATGAAATCAGGTTTAGCACTCTGCAACAAACCCCTCTGCATTCCAACCAGCACGCGTACAGGGTGGGGAGATCGACGGATACTGCTATGCCTTAACGGAGGAAATACAAGGGGCCTTTGAGTGTGATGAGGTTGTGCTCTATGCCTACCTCGATATCGAGAGGCCTTAGATAACGCCTCCCATTTGGGAGTTGACAGAGCTCTCCAGAAACATAACGTTCAACCAACCATCCGAAGATGGATAGCAAGGCTACTTCAGACCAGGATCGCCGAAACTGAAGTCGGTGATAGCGTCGTTCAAATGCAAACGACAAAAGGGTGCCCACAAGGGGGGTATTATCTCCTCTACTGTGCAGCTTAGTTGTGGACGAACTCCTACAGATACTTACTAACGAGGGCGTCCGCTGCCAAGGGTACGCGGACGACAAAGAGGTCTTAACCTTGCAAAAAGGTGGTGTGCAGACGTAGGTTTAAATATCAACCCTTCTAAGACAGCTATAGTCCCCTTCACCAAGAAACGAAATCTCCAGGGGATGAGGAACGTGACCTTGGACGGGGTCGTAGTCAATGTCGCCACAGATGTTAAGTATCTGGGGCTTACCCTGGCCTCCAAGCTTCTGTAGAGGGCCCATGTTGATGCTGTCACCTCTAAGGCCACGAGAGCGATGATGGTGTACAAACGTCTAGCGGGTAGAGTAAACCCTGGGGGTGCACTCCGAGGATCCTCAGATGGATGTACATGGGGGTGGCTTGGTATTCCGGGACTACTATGGGAACGGTGAGGCAGACCCTCTCTAAGATTCAACGTCTGGCCGGTGTATGCATTATGGGAGCAATGCGCACATGCCCGACGGCAGCGCTGGAGGTAAGGCTGGAACTTGAGCCACTGCATCTCTCAATTGAACAGGCTGCAAAGCGAACCCTCCTTAACTTTGCGAGAGAGGGCTTCGGCAAAGGCAAGGTATTATCATCTAGGAATAGGGACAAGCTAGGTACCCAGCTCCCACTGGCTTTGATCCCCAGGGACGATATTAACAGAGAGGTGGTCTTCAAAAAGTTCAGGACCCACACTTATAACAAGGTGACCTGGTGTACCTGAGCCATTTCTGGCAGTGGGACCCAACAGATAGGAGCATAGGGCACGTCTTGCCAAGAGAGGAGCACATGCACACACTGTACCCGGGCTCTATTATGAAATTTATAGACACTCTGTATCTGGTTGAGGTGTTGTGATGAGCTAGGGGCACAATTGACCTACTGGTCGCAGTGCCATACCCAACTAACTATCTATCTATTTATCTACCACTAACGATTTCGCTGACCCGTCAGTAGTGAGCAATGATCACCCGATATAAGCGATACCAATTCCTTTGCCATATTTGAATATAACATGGCAATGTCATTGAAGCGTACAGAGCGGTGCGGGTGGTTTGTCCTTTCGTTAGTTATTACCTGGTGCAAAAGTGGCGATTACTAATCGCTAGCGCATTGCCTAACGACCAGTAATGCACAAAATCGTTAGTATGTGATATTTTCAATATGGGCACCGCATAACCTGTCGCTAGCGAATTGCCTAACAATCGGTGATGCATGGAATCACCAGCACCAGTCACCAGCAAAACTCCGGCAGAACTACAGGGACTGCTCAGCTACCGCTTTTTGTAAACGTGTGAAACACAAATGTGCTCAGAGAGAGCGCTCACTGAGCTCTGACCCGCCGACCACTGTTTTAAAGTATACTTTCTTGAACAAGTTTTGCATATTACCTTGTTATATCTTTCTGGTTGTACTATAAAAGATCTCAGATCTTATTGTACTAATGTTTTAGCAAATAAAATGAAAATGAAATGAAATATACAAAAGCATGCAAAGACCATAGAATTATATGAATATCAGCTTGAGATGCACTTTTGGTGTGAAACATAAAAATTCTCAATTTACGAGTGGTTTTCTCAGTGGAGAGTTAACTCCTTCGAAAGTTAACCCTCGATTTTCAAAATACAACTGCACTTAGGCCCAGTTTCTCAATTTGAGGTTAACACTAACTACAGGTTAAACATTTAAATTGACGTTATTGCCTCCCCGTTATATGTTATGGAGTATATCACGTCGATAAAGATGTTTAACCTGAAGTTAGTGTTAACCAGACATTGAGAAACTGGCCCTCAGTTTTATAAGATACAAAAAAAAAAACTAATACAAGATAAAAAACAAGTGCTAGGCATAAGAAAGTAATAATAACAACCACTTTCTAAATACTACGTGTGCATTTCCAAAAATTAAATGCGGCCTATAAAGTGTGGTTAATATTGTTAAGGGATAAAAACTAACTCCTACAGAAACTTAAACTAGTATCTGAACTACTGCAAAGGCATTTTGCTTATGGTTAAATCTAAAACACACACCAATGGTAGCGCTATTTGTAGAATGGCTAGTAGTGTTAGATCGATTGTATGATTTTCTACCATGCGTTTGAACATTTGAATGTTCCGCCGTTGAACCGGCGTTGCCTGCTTTTAGCCCACCTTCGTTCTGTAATCGAAAACAGAAATAATTAAACATAATTGTTTCAATTAACATTTTCCAAAATTATACCTCATTTTGAATAGTGTAGTAGGCATCCTCGACATTGCTATGCTGATCAGCAGCACGGTCAGTATTTCCCTGCCCTCGGCCACGTCCCTTTTGGAATGTCATTTTAAGTGATTGCCTGCGTACTGTACTGCCATTTGTTGAATCCCTGGATGTACCCGCGAATGCAGTCGCATGCTGGCCGCCAGTCCCATTGCTTTTCCGTCCGTTACCCGAAGTCGAGGCATGGCTTCCACCGCTAGTGTTGCGATTTATTTTAATAACTGTCTTAAGGGTACCGGTGTATTCGTGGGCCGTAGCAGAATTTGATGATTTGCTGTTGCGTTTAGTGCTGCTGCTATTCTGGTGTTGCGCACGTGAGGCTTCTGCAGCGGCAGAGCTTTGTATATATTCTAGACGGCGCTTTTCGGCGGCTTTATGCGTTAATAGACCAAGATTTTGAAAATGTTGCTCTTTCTGGCGCAATGCTTCCTCATCGTCGAGTGTCACCCATGAACTGCTATCTGTCGACTGGCCGGACTTCATGGACGTTGAATCGTCCTCCTTATGGCCAGCTGATAACTTGGTAGGTGAATTGGGTGTAGAAGAAAGCGATACCTCTTTCTCTGTGAATTTTGATTTGTTTGACTCCTGGAAAAGAAATTGAGTTACATTATAAAACTTGATTAAAGGAAATAAAACAAAGTATGGGCATATAATGTACATACAACCATACATACTAACCTTAATTTCAGATTTGTTTATAGCATCGATTGTTGTAGTTTCAACAACAGAAATATTTTCGATTTTTTCCAGCACATCAGTTGCGCTGGTTGTCACCGTTTTATCTTTTAGTTCAAGATCCATTTTGATTAAGCCCAAATCAGCTGGCAATTTGATTTCAATATCCCCAACTTCTTTATCGGAGCTAACTGAATCAGTGCTAACTGGTTTCTCATTAACCTTGCTCCTTTCTAAGTCGTCATATTTTTTCAACTCTGCATCAATCTTTGCGACAACCTCATCGTCCTCTATGTTTTCAAAAATCTCCATATTTGTAGTTGAAGGATTTTCTTCCGGCATATCTATACACAACTTAGTTTCGTCGTCCTCTTCAGAGTGAATAGAATCCATAGCTTCAGCTAAGTCTACACATTCATTCCCATCAATATCCATCTGGATAGGTCTATCTTCTGAGTATTCTCCCTCTACCTTCTCCTCTTCATCTAAGCTTTTTAATTTCGCATCCTTCTCACCCTCTATGATTTCATTCTTTAGGTCCATATTATTTTCATTTTCAACTTTAAGCTTGGCTTGTATACTATCACATTCAGTTTTAGTCTTTTCATTAATTTCTGTCCCATCTGACACACCCAGATCTGCTTTATTTTCCGAAATTTCAGTGCTATTCTCCAAATCTCCGTCTATATGTGTATCATCCATTACATCTTCATGAACTGAAGCATTATTATCCATAGATATGGTCTCACTTTCCTCCATTGTGACATCATCTTCAGCATCTACTTCATCTGCGTTGTTCAAGTCCTCAGAGTCTTTTTTTATTTCCCCTTTTTCAGTAATGGATGTTTCGACTTTCTCACATTCCATTGTTTCTATATCATCATCAGCAACAGCCTCCACCTCATCATCTTCCTCGATTACTAAAGGCGATAATACTTCTGTGCTCAAACTGTTGGCATCTTCATTAAATGAATTCTTCTTATCTTCATTGCTGTCATCCACTCGTAGGTCGCCTTCTTTTATCTCATCACTCTCAACGGATATTGCATCAATATCATCGTTTTCTGACTTATTCTTTGACGATAACGATGTTGCATCTTTGTCCACTGTATCAGCTGCATCTTCAACTTCGGTGATAGTTTGCTCTTTCTCTTTTTCTGTAGTAACTTTTTGCACAATCTCTCCCAATTTTGGATCTTCTTCGATTCCCAAATTATTTTCCAAGAATTTTGGCTTTTTGTAAAACTGCTTAACACTGATCTCACTCACACCTTCACTCACCATTTCTGGACTAAGCGAGGCTGCCTTCACGGTATTCTCGTTGACTGATGTGGAATCACTTGTTGTGGTCACTGGGGTACTTGGTTGTCCCTTTGCCGCCACAACTTCCTTCGTTTCATCAGTCACACCGGCAGTATTCATATCCTTTTTATCGGTTTTTATTTCCGTTTCAACTGTGAGCGGCAAAGAGACGGAACTACTAGCAACGTCAATATGCTTTTCTTCCAATATAATTTCTGCAATTAATTCGTTAGCCAAATCAGGGGTAAACTTTTCCATTTTTATATCTGCCAGCAACTCATCTATAGATGATGAAGCTATGCTGTCTTTAGAGTCTTCGTCAGGTACATGAACTGGAGTGGCGGTTGGATTTACGCCGGCTGTTGCTGCAGTCTTTAAAAGTGTCTGCGATGAACTTCGCGTCAGAGTATTAGACTGAACGTTGGTACGCCTGCGCTTCGATTCAGCTGCTGTAACACCGCTTGCGCTGGACGTCGATGACGCAGTTGGCGACGGTGATGGTGAGGCGTTTTTCGAGTGACGCGTAGCGCGAGTACTCGGCGAACTTTGTTGGTTTGATTGTTGTTGCTTGCGTACACTCCAACGACTACGACTGCGCGTCACACTCGAGTTTGCTGTACCAGCTTCTGTTGCTGATTCGTCACTTTCGACGGGCTCTGATTTAATTTTCAATGCCTCTATTTCATTGTTGGTTACGACTGAAAGGGCTGATGGTGCTGGCAACTCATCCTCGGTAGCTTCAGAGTCATCCTTCGGTTCTATTTTGATAATTTTACCGGATAGGCTCTCTGTGCTGCCACTTGGTGTGTCATCGTCCTCGCCACGTTTACGTTTGGCAGCTGGCTCACTCGAAGAAAACGAAGTTTTCTTGCCGGCGGTTGAACGGCGCGGGCGTGTCGATGTGCTAGTAGGTGCTGTGGTAATTGGGGGCGTTTCCGGACGAAGTGTGTTCGATTGGCGGTTACGAGTCACGCGGGTATTAGCAGCTATTTCCTGTGCCACGGATTTTCTAGTCAGCCTGTTGGTTGTTGTGGTTGTTGTTGCTGCCGACGGTGACGATGTTGTCGAAGTAGAATTAGAGGATGTTGTAGCTGTTGCACTTGAAGTAGTGGGTGTGATGTCATTAACATGTGCATTTGCCACGATATTGTCTTTTGCACTGTCTTCGGTTTCTCCATCTTCTTTCTTTTTATCATCTTTAATTTCTTTAGATCCTTTAACATCTTTCTCTTTTACATCATTTGTTTCCTTATCAGATTCAATAACTTCGGGTGCATTATCTTCCTTCAATGTATCCTTTTCGGCATCTACTTTCGCGTCTCTGCACTCTTTAAGAGATTTCCGTCCTTTTATTTGCAATGATCGTCGCCCAGATGCACCGTCTTCGCTCTCGCTATTTGTCAACTCTGAATCACAAGTTTCGTTACTACGAAACTCCTTCGGGGTGCCACTAGACGGCGTTGGAGATGCCAGCAAAAGCGGAGAGTTTCTCAATATACGCTTTGGCTCGCTACTTGCACGCCTTGTGTCTGTCTTTGTTGATTCTTTGCTGCTGGATGTGTTTGCGCTTACCGACTCTGTTGCTTTACTCATTTCAACATCAACACAAACGCCAGAGGATGCATTCGACCCCATTTCTGCTTTCGCATCAACAGTTGTGTTTGCTGAGGATGGTGTGGAGTTTGTCGATGTTGCTACCACTGGCTTTGCTGCTGTGGTAGATGGTGACGTCCCTTTGGTTGTCATATTTTCCGACTTACCAGTCGGTGTGGCAGCTCGTGTCGTTGTTGTAGCCGTTGTTGTCACTGCCACTGATGCTGTTTTACGTGTCGACATTTTATTTTCCCTATTCGCAGCCTAAGCTGGCTTTATATTTTATTTTCTTTATGCTCTTCAAATTTTTGCGCTGCTGTTAAAAGCAGAGTGCTATAGTTGCAATTTGTTAGTATATTTGCACCGGTTCGCATAAATGTACACATGCATACATACATAAACACGTAGATGTGAATGTGTTAATACTTATAGGCTTCCGCCCAAGGCATTTATGCCCAAACGCAACTATGGCTGGGTAAACTCCTCCTGAAGTTCAGCTTCTGCATTGAGTTTAACAGCTGCAAAAATGAAAAATTGTATAATTAACAAGAGTGGCTGCTAAACACAAATATTTTTAATATACATATGTATAATATATATGTACATATGTACTTATTTTAATTTGAATGGGTTCTTGTAATAAAAAAAATTATACCGTTGAGCTAAACTTGTAACAATTTTCTAATTGACTAGGTATTTACATACATATGTATGTATGTACATAGTATGTATGCATGTACTTTGATATTTGTAATATATATTAAATATTATTATTAATTACTACTTTTGTATGTAGTACCTTAAAATGGCAAAGTCCCAAATATTTGTGTGCTTAACTACTTACAATACATTAACTAAATACCACTTTGTTCATCACTGATTTCAACCATTAACAAAATTCAATTCCTTTATTAATGTAAATTGCAATCAACAGCAATCCATCAGTTTTTTTTTGCTGTGAAATTGTTACACGTAAAAATTTATCATGTGAAAAATTTAAACTTTCCCGCAAAATTAAATATGTATGTACTTAGTACATATCGCACGTTTAGTAATATACAGAATTATTTAAAAATTTCAATTTTGTGGGAAAACGCAATGAAAGCTTGATCAATTCATGCAGTTGGTATACAAAAAGACCGATGGAAATACACATATCTTTGCCATTTTTGTGAAGTTTATGAGTCGATTACGGATAGCAACGCAACCACGGTACGATTGCCAGCTAGCAACGGAACTGGAAAGAAAATTTGTATTCGAATGGCAACTATTGTCAGTTTAAAAGATAATTCCTCCAAACCGCCTGCACTGTAGGCAAAAGTTAATGCTTTCAAGGTTTTTCTTTTATTATCTTTTTGTGTTCACTTTTAAAGCATATTCCAGACTAACAAAAGTAGCTGTAGTATAATTATGTAGTTAATAAACCGAGGAACTTCATTGCACTTCAATACCTCCGCCCCTAAAAGCTTGCGCATCTCTTCGATTTTTCGCAGAAGGAAGTGCCACAGCAACGACTTCAATTTGGGAAACTTCGTTTGTCGGTAGTTTTAAAATAGGTGCTTCATGGTTTTAAATTCTCTAGTACAGAACCAGTTTGGCACTAGTGCGCTTTCCGACAGGGTATACACAGTGCAGTATCACAACTCAAAGCGATCAATATGTACAGCAATGTGTTGTCCAGCTTTTGCATTCCCATCTATCCATACAAAATTAACTATCAATAAACAAGATAACCGAAATACAGAAACAGAAACAGACATACATTACCATCGGATGCTGGTTAGCTTGAGCGCACTCACTGTACATATATGTACATAGTATTGCTAAAAAAATCAGTTATCGTTATGCGTCTTCTGAACGGCTTGATACATTATCTGTCAAATTCAAATCATAAAGGTACACACAACAAATGATCAAAAAAATATTGCGATCATCTAACACGCAACTGTTCAGTTGATCAAAAGTACACAACAATGCGTTCAGTAGGTGCTATCGCAACAGTTATAGAGCTGTTGCGCCTTCTGAACGGCCCCAGTTGAAATCCTGAGGGGCGAGGCATACAAATGAGCAATTCCAAAATAAGAACGAGTAAAAGGAAAACTCAACAAACACTTGTTAACGCACACTCATATGCTCCTGGAAACCGGTTACGAAATAATAACGAGCCACATGCTCTTGCAGACAGATTTGATTTGCGGCAACAGTTAGAGCAGAGACGTGCGATCGAATTATGTATCTGTTGACAGCAGTTGGCATTTTGCTCGTAGATATGCGAACTGAAGTAATAGACACACGGGTATTTAAATTTAGCATATACGTACATATGTACATGCGTAAGTTTATAAAAGCACATACTGGCATGGAGCCACAATAGTAGATTGATAAACTGCGAAACAGTTTATATTTGAATACTACTTCATGTCCTTATATACAGTATGCCCTCTGTAAAAGCAACACTCGATAAACGCAACACCAAAATGTTGATTATTTGTAACTCAGTAATTTCATGTTTCGTTTAACTTCTATCTTCAACGGACTGAAGAAAACTCAATTTCAGTAGAAACACCTTAACTCTTCGAAAGCTGAGAGTCGACCGTCGAAAAAATATACACCCTTATTCTAGAATCCGAATTTTCGTAATTCGTAATTCGTAGCTACGCTAGGAAAAACGAAAAATCTACATGCTGCAATCCTTGCGGAAAAATGTGCAGCATTGCCAGCTATCAGTTGTTATTCGAAGTCAGCTTTATGAAGGAAAACAAAGTGGGAAGGAATTGATGGGTCGATTATCGGTAGCAATCGAACTTCAGTTGCGTTGCTAGTTGCCAAAACGATATTACAGATGGACGCTGGCAACTTTCAACTGACAACTGCAGTTGCTGGGTCGATTTTTTATGGGGGAAAATAAAAGGCATTTGACCGTATTGTAATAGTAATATTATGATGTCTTAGGTCTAAGCCAATTGTTATTGGCCACGAAAGATTAATTTAAAACTTAACTTTAGCCCGCGCAATTGAATCAAAGTGTATGAATTTTAAAAATGAAATTTTGGCTTGTAATATCCATGGAATGCGTTAATTGTTATAAACAGGACGATATATCAAATTAAGGGTTATTAAATTTAGTACCTTACGTTCATTTATCATTTTTCAATAAGTCTTACAAGTTTTTTTTGGATATTAAGATAAAACCTAAAAAAAAAAACTATAAATTTCCCTTATGAATTTCCAATTTTTCATTACTTCAGCAACCAAGTGAAAAATACAAAAAAGTGAGATGAGATTTATTTCAAACGTTTTAATGTTTTCGGATGTTAATAAATAATATTAAAAGGACCATGGACTTAGTCACGCCGATTTGGTCAGTTTTCAAGATCGTGGTGAACGAAGTCAAACATGTATTGTCAAAGATTAGGAATCATTTGATAAGTTAATAGTAGTTTCAAGCATATAGGTATTTACGTAGATTAACATAATACAATAAGGTTGAGAACGCCCATTTTAAGTCCATATATGCAGTCTTGAAAATTGGTGCGGAATAGTTTCATTAGTCACCGAAGAAGCACATTTTTCGCGGATTCTAAATTTGCCGTTATTTGAAAGTAGGGGACGTGCAATAGGTGTTTAGATATACATAAATATTTTAGCTAATTGTATTATGTGAAGATAAATAAATGATAAATGCAATAGTCTTTAACATATCCTGGGAAATCCTTTTGGGGACTCTCCAACTGGACGTTATTGCTTTGCATTCAGCTTGAACGAAAAAAGGTAACTCCCTGGCACACTTTTCTGTAAATTATTTATACAATTGAAGACATTTTTTTTTAGAAAAAAACTGGAGATCCACTTAAGTCTTTCGATATAACTTTAGTAAATGTTGCTCGATTGGTACGTAACAATTACCAAATTGAAGGCGGGATTATGATAATAATATGATGAAAATCGGTCAGATAATAAAAAAATTATTTTAAAATAAAACAAAGATGTTGAACAAATTTTTTTGTAATTTTCCTATATTTGCAATTTTTATATTGTATGTATAAACATAAGTAAACTAACTACTTAGTGTTTCTAGAAGTTGTGGCTCTTCAGTGTTTCCATATTCATTTTCATAAATAAAATTTTTCCACGATGGTGGAAAATAATGGCTTTTCTATTAGAGCTACCGAAATTGTTCCTAAATTTGCAAAAATTCGGAAACTATAGCTAATATTAAAAAAAAAGATTAGAATATTTGGAACCAGCAACCTAAAAGCACACCAGCAATATTAAATGCTGTTCTTTACATCTTTTGAATATAGGCCGGTGAAATTATCAAGAGAACAATTAAAATTATATAGAAAAAAGATAACTTTGAGATTAACGATAAGCTAGAGGGCTGCGAGAAATGATATTTGACTTTATCTTTTGCATTAGCGGATTCATATTCTAATAATATGCACCAAACCTGTTTGCAGAACCCAGAAGGGGTACCGAAATTGCGCATATGGAAACTGTGCATTTAGACATTATTTCGGGTTTCATCCGAAACTGCGTATGTATGCATTACTTCGTCTTTCACATATGCATTATTTCGGTTTTTGCATTACTTCGTTTTTCTCATATGCGTTATTTCGGTTTTCAACCGAAACTATGCATAAATGCATTATTTCGGTTTTTTTCATATGCATTATTTCGGTTTTCAAACGAAAGAGTGCATATGCATAATTTCGATTTTTTTAATATGCATTAATGCGGTTTTGAACCGAAACTGTGCATATATGCATTATTTCGGTTTTTTTCATATGCATTATTTCGGTTTTCAAACGAAAGAGTGCATATGCATAATTTCGATTTTT